TTATATGGCATTTTAAGGTTTGCAAAGTGCTTCACAAATCTTATCTCATTTGATCCTCACAACAACTCTGGATGCTAGGTGCTATTATTACCCCCATTTTACAGATAAGGAAACAGGTAGAGAGAGGTTAGGTGACTTACACACAGTGTCTGAAACAAGATTAAAACTCAGGTCTTCCTGACTCCAAGTCCAGTCCTCTTTCCACTAGCTGTCTAGTTTTTAAAAGTTTGACATAATAAATGCAGTAGAGAAAAGCTATAAAGACAGAGGCTTGTGCCTAGGCTTTTGAGTAATTCTCAGTGAATAAATTTTGGAAAGGCACCTAGAAAAGACACACTTTAATGTGATCATCAAGTTGTTTTTCCTCACCTCCTTAAAAAGATTCTGAAGATGATCACCTATACTCTACACGTTTTGGATGATGTAACTCTTTTCTCCCCAGTCCAGGAGGACAGAAGGTAGAAGTGGGAAAGAGTTGGGTGTATTATTGTTTTAGAGATAAGCTAAATTAATCAAAACTCAGGATAATGATGTAACAATGATAATTATAAAATGAAATAATCTAGAATTTTCTGACCACCAAAGGAAAAAAATAGACTCTACATGTTTAAAAAAAATGGCAGTGGATAGAGTTCTGGCCTTGGAGTCAGGAGGACCTGAGTTCAAATCCGGCCTCAGACACTTGATACTTACTAACTGTGTGACCATGGGTAAGTCACTTAACCCCGACAGCCTCACCAAAAAGCTAAAAAAAAAATACCTATGAAGAACCAGAAACTCATCCATTCTCTGTATGTTACAAGTGCCCAAACCAACAAATCCTGAAACTGAAGAGACCATTAGTTAAGGTGGACTTATCTCCATCTATTGCATAGACCAGATGATCAGACTCAAATCCAATTCACTTGCAAGTCATGGCATCATCTTCCTGATGTCAGGGTCCTCTTCAAGAACAAAGGATAAACCACACTCAACACAAGACCAGATGACCCTCAGAATCAGAAGACACAAAAATTTATGAGCTGAGTATTTATAGAATTATTAGTATATTAAAATAGGTTGAGAAAAAATTATTCTGTAATAATATAACTCCACTAATATGGTGATGTCAAGGCAAATTCATGTTACATGCAGGTTTTTTGTGTTAGTATAAATCTACTCTAGGTTACATGATCTGACACCATGAATGACTGAATTTGTAGTGTATACAAGGGCAAGTTTTTATTTACATTGTGGGCATGAAGGATTTTTTTCCCTTAAAACTGCATTGTTTGGAAATGGTGTAAACCTGCACTTAGGATCATTTGTTTAGAGCTAGAAGGGGCCTGGAAGGTCACCAAACCTAATTCCCTCTTTTTACAGACGAGAAAACTGAGGTATAAAGGAATTAAGTGACTTGTCCAACGTCCCACAAGCAGTAAGGAGCAGAGCCAGAACTTGAACCCAGGTTCTCTGTCTCTAAAACCAGTGCTCTTTCCACACTGTACCAGGCTACCCTCAATTGAATAAGACTTATTTTTCACCTTCTTTGTTTTTGATGAAGAAAAAAATATATATCTATTACAAATTTACTTCTCTAGGACTGGGTGCTATAGAAAATCATTTTTAATATGTAAGCAACAAAGGTGATACCTGACCTCATGATTCATTCCTGTCATTCAGCCCATAAGTTCACCTCCTCCCCCTACACACACACATGCACCCACAAACACTAAAAATAAATGGTTTTTCCCAACTCAGTGTCTCAGATTAGTCATTTCTGAGATTTAATTCCCCCACAAGATTCATTGTAGACAATGCTATTTCCCAGCATTACCTCTTAGAGCAGTTGTATGTCTCGTAGTATATAAAGTATCCTTTATATAAAGTATATAGTAGTAGTATAGTAGTATATGTATAAAATACATAATATATGAAACAAAATCTTTAAGCAGACAGAAAGAGAAATGCCCTTGTAACACATTTAATTTATGCCTTTGGTGCTAACGATAACTTTTCTAGATAAATTACTTTTGACCCTGGAGTATTAGAAAGTCTGGAGATATAAATGTCACCATTTCCCCATATATTTATTTAGCACAGTGTTCTAACAGGGAGCATCAATTTGGAAGACAGAGGCAGATCAGAAACACATTGCTGATGCATAATCAGATCAGGGCAAAGAGCCTGACAGTCCCATACTCCTGAGTCCTAGTCAGAGACTGTACAAAGATGAGGAAATGAATCATGTTTCTATTCTTCTCCACTGTGGCCACTATAGTTAGCGCCTGCAGAGACCCTATTATTCAACACTCCCCCCCAACCTTTCATTTAACAGGGTTTTTTTCTGTTCTTCCATGAATTTTAGATTTCTCTAAGCTAGATCCTACAAGTTGTTAGTTTCTCCCTCAAAAAGACTATGTGATAAAAAAAAATAATGAACCTATGAAACTATCAAACCCACCAAAAGCAAAATGAAAATGCTAAGCTCAGCAGTAACCTTAAGGTTTTTCTTTTTTAAAGTGGCCATAGTTCAGAAGATGCCTTAAAGAAAATTTCATGCTCAAAATGAAAAGTTTGCCAAGGAAGATTAGTTAATTCAGCTGGATTTCTTTAGACTTTAGGTTATGTGCTAGATAGAGGTTGAAATTGAATCATGCTCTTAAAGTTCTATTTGGGTACTTTAGAAAGTTTTTCAGATAAATCCCTGGGGTCCATTTCACTCTTACAGAGTTATCTTAACCTTTTTCCTTCTATTTGTTTTTACTTATGTGTATAGACAGAAAGAAGCACTGCTCTAGGGCCTATAGGGCAATTTAAACAGAAAATAATACAATGGATTGATTTAATCAACTCATTTCCTCCAAGCATCACTTTGGGTAAAATAAACAACATTCATAAACATCACCTAGATTTGCTGCTTCAATTGAAAGATTCCATAACCGATTCTGGCCTCAACAACGAAAGACCTACCAAAGTCTTAGCAATGAAACACTTCAGAGTTTTGTTGTTAATGTTGTTGTCATTAAAAGGCTTGCAGATTCTGCTAAAAGGAGGTAGTGGAGAGCTTGAAGTGGAAACAAAGGAAGGACACAACAAAACCCAGCAGGGAAGCAATTCGTTTCTGATTCTGCAACCAGGAGGTGAACTTCCCTAAGAAAAAGGGAGACTGCCTCTCTCTCTCTCTCTCTCTCTCTCTCTCTCTCTCTCTCTCTCTCTCTCTCTCT